GGGCAGGACATGGAGACCTTGGTGGGAGAACTTAGCACCTTGCGGTTGTGTGCTATTTCTCAGGAGCCACTGGGGTTAGAAGCAGCTAACCGAGCAGACCTTCTGACCAGAGTTCGAGCGGCTCAGGAGAAGGATGCAGGGCTGGTTAATGCTTCTAAGGATACTGAGTCAGAGTATCAGGTTGCAGCCAATGGGACTATCCTTGTGCATGGGCGAGTTTGTGTGCCCAAGGATGAGGAGTTGAGACGTGAGATCTTGAGTGAGGCTCATGCGAGTAAGTTCTCTATTCATGCAGGAGCGACCAAGATGTACCGAGATCTGAAGCGGTATTATCATTGGGTCGGGATGAAGAGCGACGTAGCTAAATGGGTCTCTGAGTGCGATGTATGTCAGCTAGTGAAGGCTGAGCATCAGGTGCCGAGTGGGTTATTGCGGAGTCTCCCTATTCCAGAGTGGAAATGGGACATGATCACGATGGATTTTGTGGTGGGATTGCCAGTGTCTCGGTTCAAGGATGCCATTTGGGTTATTGTGGACCGTTTGACTAAGTCTGCACATTTCTTGGCTATCAAGAAAACCGATGGAGCGGCAGTGCTAGCCAAGAAGATTGTGAGACTTCATGGAGTACCGGCCAGTATTGTGTCAGACCGGGATTCGAAGTTCAGTTCGGCGTTCTGGAAGGCTTTCCAGAAGGAGATGGGTACTAAGGTGCATTTGAGCACGGCTTACCACCCTCAGACAGACGGGCAGTCTGAGCGGACCATTCAGACACTTGAGGATCTGTTGAGGATGTTTTTGTTGGACTGGGGTGGTCAGTGGGCAGATCACTTAAGCTTGGTGGAGTTTGCTTATAATAATAGCTACCAGGCGAGTATTGGGATGGCTCCTTATGAGGCGTTGTATGGGAGGCCATGTCGGACACCTCTATGCTGGACTCAAGTGGGGAGAGGAGTATTTATGGTGCGGATTTTGTTCAGGAGACTTCAGAGAAGATTCGGGTTCTCAAGCTGAACATGAGAGAGGCGCAGGATCGGCAGAAGTGTTATGCTGATAAGAGGCGTAAAGAGTTTGAGTTTGAGGTTGGAGATATGGTGTATCTCAAGATGGCGATGTTGCGTGGTCCTAACAGGTCCCTTACCGAGACTAAGCTGAGTCCGAGGTTTATGGGTCCTTTTAGGATTGTGGAGCGGGTTGGACCGGTGGCTTATCGGTTGGAGTTACCTGAGGTAATGCATGCATTTCATAAGGTATTCCACGTGTCGATGCTGAGGAAGTGTCTTCACAAGGATGATGAGGTGTTGGCTACGATCCCGGCGGATCTTCAGCCTAGCATGACCTTGGAGGCGAGGCCAGTGAGGGTTCTCGAGAGGCGGGTAAAGGAACTTCAACGTAAGAAGATTCCTTTGATGAGAGTCCAGTGGGACTGTGATGGAGTCTTGGAGGAGACGTGTGAGCCAGTGGCCAGGATGAAGGCAAGGTTCCGGAAGTGGTTTGACAAGCAGGTCGAGGAGTAGACCGTTGGCTTGTTTGGTTTTTGAGTTTGGTTTTGGTTGTATCTCTTTTGTATTCTCATTTTGGTGTAATGATTATGACATTTGAGATTAATAAGATGAGTATTTCTTGGATTTGACTTGTTGTGTCATGTGTAAGAGAAATATGTGCGAGTTTCTAAAAATAGAAAGTGTCGGGTTTGACTATTCTATTTTTGGAAAGTCTCGGGGTGGTGGTTAGTATAGCATTGCGATGTTATAAGTGGACCACGGGAGGTATATCTGTTCGAGAGATATGCTCGGGGGCGTTTAGACTTATTTGCTCGGATATAATGTGATGGCCTCGGATGACGATTCGAGTGCACGCTTGAGGGTGACGACCCGAGAGCGAGCGTGTGACTTCCCGGATACCGTAGCTAGAAGGTGGGTGGCCTAATAGTGAGCCGGTATGACTTGAGGGTTGCGACCTGAGAGCGGGGGAAGTGGTGAGGCTTCCTGGATACCGTAGTCTAAGGCTGAGGCCTGAGGACGAGCCGGTATGATCCACGGGTTGCGACATATGGACGGGGGAGGTGGG